CTTCCGATCTCTTTTGCAACCCAGCCGCAGCTCCGCGAGTCCAGGCGGGGAGAGTGCGCCCGCCCCCTAGCGCTGGAGGACCGCGGACGGGGGAAGGCACGGCTGGCGACGAGGAGGGAGGTCCTGTAATTTTTGCACGCCGCGGGGTGGAGCCCGTGCTGGAGTTTGCCTCCCTGGCAGCGTGTGCAGCATTGCGAAGGGAAAAAGGCTTCTGGGCGCGTGCAGAATCCTGGGTTGTTAAAGAGGCCTGAGAATCCTTGAGCGGCGGTTGCCAGCTCACCGGGCGTGGTACTCCGTCCCAACGATAATGGATCTGCAACTCTTAAGCAGCTCGTTTCCTTTATTCATCCTACTTCGCGGGGCTTTGTGCGCTCTCGTCGTACTGTGCAAACACACCCTTTCGGGAAGGAAGGTTGCATAATGCTGCCTGGTGGCCGTTGTTCACTTTGGCTGGGTGCTTAAGTGCCTATCTGCAGAGGCTGAATATTGCTGGAGATAAGCTCCAGTGAAGTGTTCACTTGGCTAGCGGAGTTCCACAATAGGGAGAAAGAGCCCGGCTGTTCACACGTGAGATAGGCCACAAGTACAGCCCATGAGGGGGGTTGTAAGCGTGTTTAATCCAAAGGGTCGCTTAGTCAAGGTGGCATTTCAAGGAAGCATGGAAATAGATAATAGTTACTCATCTAATCGGATCTGAAAAAAGTCCCAGCGTTTCTCCTACAAAAGTAATATCTAGTATTAGATTTTGTAAGCTGCTCAGAATCCACTGGGATGGACAGCTGTATTAAATTTAATAAATTAATACTAATATTGCATAACAAAAGCTGGCAGATTAAATCTTATTTTGATGGATTGTAGGAAAAAGAAAGTCTTCATAGTGTACAGAGCGAGGAAAACAATTTTAAGCCATTTATCACTTGCAGTGGTGTTAAAATGTGTGGCTGCTTAGCGAAGTGTGTTCTGTTTTGACTTAAGCAGAGAAGAGGGATTTGTCTCCATAAAGAGTAGCATGGCTGTTCCTTTTTCCATTATTGCCTTCTGGTTCATCCTGCCTTCATCCTAAACCAGTAACGGCGAACCTTTTTGGGCTTGGCGTGTCAAAATTTAGGAAAATGCCTAACTTGACTGCTAGCATGTCACCCCCCTCAATGAAAGAGAAACAATTGTTTACATATTTATTTTTTAAAAATACAGTCCAATCACGTGTGGTGCTATTTATTATATAAAGAAACATCAGATAATTACAAAAATGGAATACAAGTAAAGCAAACTCAGTATCTTTGGTAACTCAAACAGGGAGAATAGTTGTTGTGTCTAACTTGACTGCTGGCGTGTCACCCAAAATGTGTGTCACCTTTGACACGTGTGTCAAAGGTTCACCATCACTGTCCTAAACCAATAGAGGAGAAGTGACTTAATGTTTAAAAATCTTGGGACAATACAAAACAATATGTGGGCAAGTTGCTTGGCCTAGCACAGAACGCTTAAAGCAGCCTTGCTCAAAATATATTTTTTTCACAGTACAGAATAAAAACCTGTATTTAATCTATTCTCAACTTAAACACAAGCAGAACACTAGAAATGGTATGGTGTATCTGTAGCATGTAATTTGTAGAATCCAGTAATAATTCATTTTAAACTAAATCTTACCTCAAAAATTATGTACAAAAATGTATTTGCATAAATTGTTAAAGAGTGTTTATTGAAAGCTGAAATGTGGGCATTTCTTGCAACTTTAAACACTCTGTGTCATATTCCTTATAAGCTCTGTGCAAAAGTATGCCTTCAACCATCAGCGTATTTCTTCATGCTCAAAGGCCCTCTCGTTTATCCTGATTAAGCATCCATGATTTATCTTTCACCTTTAAGTAAGGATGTGCATGGAACAGAAAATGTGCTCTCCAATGCAGAACAACGTTGTGTTGTAGACATTCTGCCAAACCATTCTCGGAGCTGCAGTTCAACAGAAACAAAGCCCAGAACAGTTTTGTTGTCCCGCAGTTCAGACAAAACCAACCTGCAGGAATCCCAGGAATGTCCACAGGGTATAGTCCAAAAAGTCACCATGATGGCTGTTACAGTGCGATCATAGCCCCACTTGGTTTTTGTGTGTGTTGTGATGCACATAAAAACCAGGCAGAGCTCCAATCACGCCATCTTGACTTTTTGGACCACACTGCAGACACCCCCTAAGAGTCCCTGGGGGACTTTTGTAATGGGCCAAGGCAATGGCCTTGAGGGACAGGAGGAAGAGCCGCTACCTAGACAATGGTCAGATAAAAGAAACCTGAATCTGGGACAGACCTCTAATCTGAAAAAACATCTCAGACAAGACCATCCCTAGTTATCATGAAGAGAAAGGGAGGGAGGGGTGAAGTGCATGGAGACTTGGAAGATTCTGTTACTAGGACTTTACTGTATAATAAAAGTAATAATAGCATGCATGATTTTGGTTTCCTAATCTGGTCTATCTTGAACAGTGATTTTGCATGGCAAACTGGACAAAGCTGTTGTGTATCACAGTACCCTGCCCCCCTGCCATGCTCAGCTGCTGCCACCAATATTCCAGTGCATTATATAAAAATAATAATGCCTAATGTCTCAGCACTGCATTTCTCATTTTCCCATCTGCCCACAATCTTTCCAGCACCTTGCCTTTCTCCCCTCAACCATTGCTGCCAGTTTCCTTGGCTTTTCCCCTTCTGTCTGGAATAACCATTAACAGGTGCCTGATACTTGAAATCCCTAGTATTGACTCTGCAAGGGTTTTCTTATGTATCATTGAAAACTTTACTCCAAAAGCATTTATGGACACAATTTACAATAAACCATTAAAGAGATCACCACTTTGACAACTTCTGCATTCTGTTTGAAATACCAGTGTTATGGGCCTGGGAACAGTTTGAATATCTTTTCCTTCTCCACCTCTTCCTAAAATGCATTGGCATGTAAAACCTGGGTAGCAATTACAGAATATTTTGTAATGGAAATATAGAAATTATTGCTTGTCAATCCATAAACTGTTGGTGCTGGCCAGCATTTTGTAAGCATAATTCTTATAAAGTCAGGGTATTTTTCTTTCTATAAAAATTGCAGACTTACCATGGTTGAGCTCAGGTATCAAAGAAAGTGATGTGACTACACAAATTTGACAGAGAGGGAAATTAAGATATTAAAATAATTAACCTTGTTCCTGTAAATGTGATCCTAATCACAAATGAAGTGCGGTGTTTAATCCTCAATCTGAGAAACAGCCAACAAAAGCTTACCTGGAGACTAACCTTTGTGAAACTGTCAGAATCATAAAACAGAACTTCAGACAATGTTTTGAGTTTCTAGATATAACAATGCTGAAAGATCTTCCTACCTTCTTGTCAAACATTGCTGCTTCTTATTTTAATGGCACAGACTTAAATAATAGACCAGATTTAAATAGAACAAAAATCCTGCTTTTCAGATTCTGAATTTCTTTTTGACAACTATTAGCTAGGAACAAAGCGTATTTGGGGCCTCAGTGAGTAACAAAAGGAAAATGTAATCATTAGCCAGATGATTATGTGCCAGATCTGGAGTTGCTGGCAGAAGAGATTCAGGTGTTAGAAGTGGTGCCATATTACGTTCAATCTTTAATCAGGACTGAAGGACCGTTGGCTTTCTAGATATTGTGGGATGACAGGCATCATTCCTGAGTAATCCTGGGTAAAGTAGATGAGAACTGAAGTCTAACAGGTTTTCTTTAATTAATTAATTGTCGATTCCACCACAATTGCAGGACTCTTGGCAGCTCACAAAATAAAGATACACAAAACACTTTAAAACAGTTAAAACACAGCTACAGTACAACACAACACAACATGTTTGGTATCAGACCCCAAAACCTGTCTGGAAAAGCTCTGTCTTCAGCTCATTCCAGAATGGAGACAATGTGGAAACAAACATACCTCCAATGGGAGACCATTCCAGAGGGCCAGCCCCATCACCAGACATGCCCTCTCAGAAATGGGAGACAACCAGCTGTTTTTCCCAGCATGATCAAAGTGGTTGGGCTGACTCTGGTGGGGAGATTAGGCCTTGAAGATAGCTTGGCTCAAGCCATAAAGGGCTTTATAGGTTAAAACCATCACTTTAAATTACATTCAGAAACTAACAGGAAACCAAAAACTAATAGGAAACCAGAGCCTGCAGAACAGCGTAATATGTGTCTACCAGGAGAAACCTGTGAGCACCTGGGCCACTGCATTTTGCTCTGACTGAAGCTTCTGGGTGCTTTTTAAAGGCAGCCCCATTCAAAGATTAACAGACATGCAGTTAAAAGAAGCATGACTTCTAGAACACTGGAAACCAATCCTATTAAAAATTAATGGGCCCAATTTCTCCTTCAACATGATCAGAATCAGGCTATTTGCCACAAAGAATATCACTGGGAAAATCTGAGTACCAGTGACAGTGAAGGCATGTACCCAAATCAGTATTATTTGAGAACGTTTTCTCAATGCTCTATCCTGTTACCTTTGCCTTGGAGTAATATGATCTAACAGCCACATGGCAAAACTTGTATTATATAGCATATGCTTATGACTTGTTAGAAGACAGCTAAGTTTGGCCAAAACATTATTACTGCTTGCTTGCTTTGCTTAATGAAAATGTGAAGAAAAGGCTTCAGGCATTGGACACAGTTTGTGGTAA